TCCCAGAGCGTCTACGAAAACTAACGACTGCAATCACAGCACCTCTCAAGAACTTTTCACCTGCCAAGCGCTTTACAAGATTAGCTCATTAATCTACTCTGCCCTCCTGTGAAGCTGGTAATTATCATTGGGCCCCGTTCAGAGTTGGGGCAACTGGGCAGCCATGAAGCAGCCTCCTGAAATCCCTGGGCACATGACAGCCCCTCTCGTTCCGCAAAGCAGAGCACAGGTCTTTGAGCTGCCTTATTTCTATTTTTCCTTTTATCCCAGCTTCCTCCCTAATCCAAGCAGCCCAGAAGAGAGCAGAAAGTAGATGAGCTGGATCTTCATTCCATGCAACTGCTGATTAATTCTCCTTTAAAGCAATCAATACTAAAAGCAACAACAAAAAAGTGACTGTTTTATAAACGAGGTATTGCTGGACTCCAGCCACGGACCTACTTGCTGCCAAAACGATGAATTAATTCAGTCAACAGGGACTTACCAAATACCTTCCATATTTCAAACACTATACCAGGTACTGTGCACAGTGCTTAGTGTAAATAATATGGATGCACCTTATTTTGTTGTAATCTTATTTAATCCAAATATAGGGAATTCTTATGCACTATTTAATTAAAATACCTATTGTTTTTTAATTCCCTTTGACCCTAATGTTTGCTTCCTCTAGATTGCATTGATACAACAACTAATTGTTTAACACTAATCCATCAACACTGTCCCAAGTCTTGGAAAAGAAACACAACTTTTGCCCATTAATGGCTCTGAACTTTTTCTACAGCGACTTCTGTTAACTGACACAAGTAGGTGTTTCTCCTGTCAGTTCCCACAGTAGAGCAGACAGTCCGCCTCACGGCAAGGTGATAGGAAAACCTTGAGTGTCAAAGATTTAGGATGTTAATTTTCATTATGATCATGGTCCTTTTTTAAAAAACCTCTCCTTCAATGCCCTGAGTTTAAGGTTCTGGGAGTCTGGGAGATCAAAATGAGGTGCTGTTTTATCCTTGGCTATGTCTCTAGGATCACAGTAACGAGACAAGATTTTTGTTTTGTAACCTAAAGGTTTCCATAAGGGTCCAAGGCTGACACGTTTGTATGTATGAAATATTAAATACATGCGATTACTTCTTGGATTAAAGTTTTAAAAAGGAAATCATATGAATTTTGAAACAAGAACCCACRTACACAAGTTTGTAGAGGCTAGAAACTGTAAGAATAAAGCTTTTAAAACCTCAGTGCATTCTGAGGGTAGAAAAGCAAAACTGATGATTTCTCCAGTGATTTCTGATTATCCCAACTGGGATTAAAAGCAAGTGGCCCATGTATCAACATGGGAAGGATAGAGGAATGATTCTAGCTCAAAGGATGCAGCTACGGAAGTCTAGGAAATAGAGATAGTTCAGATCTGCATATTAAAATCCCAAATCAGTTCCTTCCAGAAAGGTCTGGAATGTGACTGCCCCTGTATGTACTGCTGGTGGCCAGAGCAGCTGGGAAGGGAGAGGGAACCATTTATCACAAATCCCTCCTGGGGTGCCTCATCACATCCTCCTTGTGTTGGGCAAACCACCTCTGCCAGCCCCAAAGGCACAGTAAAGACCTTATCACATAGAGTCATTGAGAATGAATGATCAAGGTGTCAACTGGGCCAACATCTGCAGTTTGAGGGAGGAAGACTCAAGACTTGGAAGCCACAAACGCAAATACTGTGGGGCCCCTGGAAGCAGTGAGCCGGATGGGTGTGGGTTGCAAGCAGCTTTCCCAACCTTGGTAGCAGTGACTTTCTGGGCTGGTTAATTCTTTGTCCTGGTGGCGGGCGGCGGGGGGTGGGGGGGGGTCCTGTCCCTTGCATTGTAGGATGTCAAGCAGCATCCCCATCTCTACCTACTAAAAGCCAATAGCGCCCCCGAACTGTGGCAACCAAAAATCTCTCCAGACAATGACAAATGTCCTGGGGGTGGGAGGAGTGAACAAAATACCCCAATTAAGAACCACTGTTTATCTCAAGTACTTTTTCCCAAAGTTAGATAAAGTTTGGGGAGATGCTTTAAGATTCTATGTATTTTCTGGTAAATGCCATTGAACTACATATGAGGTAAAGCTCATTTCTAGTAGATGTTGTGCTGTGTGTATGTGTGTGTGCGTGTGTGTGTGCGTGTGTGCGTGTATGTGTGCGTGTGTGTGTGTGCGTGTGTATGTGTGTGTGCATGTGTGTGTGTGCGTGTATGTGTGCGTGTGTATGTATGTGTGCGTGTGTGTGTGCGTGTGTGTGCACGCATGTGTGTGTGCGTGCGTGTGTGTGTGCGTGTGTGTGTGTGTGTGTGTGTGTGAGGCTATGTAGGGTTGTTTCACACAAACACTCAGAAAAGCATAAAGCAGACAAATCTGTTTGAAAATGTTCCCCAAAAGATTCATGATATAAAGAGAATAAGTTCATAATGGGAGGAGAAAAAAATCGTGTTTTTATACTTCAGATATGCATCAACTGAACTGCTTTTATTTTCTTTTTTATCATAAAGAGACTCCAAGATATGTAACTAAATTATACTATTATAAATTATGTTCTTTTACTACTTCCTGGGGAACTCTAAGAATTTTAGGGTGAATAGATGTGTATAGAAATACCTGGAGTAGTCAATATATGACTTATAGCACTGAGCTAGCATAAACATAATGAATCCCACGATATGCCATGGAAATAAACAAGATAAGACTCTTCTTTGGAATTTCTAAGAAGCATTTAAGGTTTAGTGTCGCTAGTGCTGTGTATTGACAAAACATATTTTATTCGAGAGACTCCACTTGGGGCAGGCAGATAGGTGCAGTGAACAGAGTTAGAACAAACGTACACAAAAAAGACATAATGGGCTTGAATTCTACAAATAGAGTCTATGGCTTAAGAAAAAATGTGAGATTAAGAAAGGTATGAAGTCAAGACCTTGGGATTTTTAAAGTTATTTTATAAACCACATGTCTCTTTCAGACACATGAGGCTCTGTTGGAGTTCCTGGGAACACACATCTCTCTAGAGGTTTACAATAAGGAAGAGAAGAAATAAGGAAAAAACAGAAGCAGCTCAAAGAGACATCTTCATATATCACCTCATTTTATTCTTATAATATCCCTGGTCAGTAGGCATTACTGCTCCATTTTAAAGATCACGAAACTAGAGGCCTGCAAGTAACCTGTCCAATGTCAAGGAGAAAGCACAGATGCCAGATGCCACAGCCTAAGCTGAGGTCTGTCCAATTCCAAGGCCCTTCTTTTTTTTTCCCATTTATTTTATTGCATTTTAGGTTTTGGGGTACATGTGAAGAACATGCAAGACTGTTGCATAGGTACACACGTGGCAGTGTGATTTGCTGCCTTCCTCCCCATCACCTACATCTGGCATCTCTCCCCTTGCTATCTCTCCCCAGCTCCCCACCCCCCACCGTCCCTCCCCTATTTCCCCCCAACTGACCGCAGTGTGTAGTGCTCCCCTCCCTGTGTCCATGTGTTCTCACTATAAGGACACGTGCACACGAATGTTCATTGCAGCACTGTTTACAATAGCAAAGACCTGGAACCAACCCAAATGCCCATCGATGATAGACTGGACAGGGAAAATGTGGCACATATACACCATGGAATATTATGCAGCCATCAAAAATGATGAGTTTGTGCCCTTTGTAGGGACATGGATGAACCTGGAAACCATCATTCTCAGCAAACTGACAGAAGAGCAGAAGATCAAACACTGCATGTTCTCACCCAGGGCCTTCTTTTACTCCTACGCCATTTGGCAGCAGCCCTTCTGGCTGGAATAACTATGTTTATATCTAGAATGGACTACACCCTTCATTTTCTTTCAACATCTACAATTCAAGCAATGAGGAATTCATTTAGAATAAATGAATTTAAAACTACAAATAAGTCTTGGTTCAAAACATACAAATCAAGTATCCACTCAGATAAATAAATATAAAGAGATGAGCACATTTCTCTGAATTTTACATCTGAGACCTGGCTTCTTTGTTTACCAGCTAAGTGTAGTGGAGAATACCACTTAGATATGGGAAAACTCAAATGCCATATGTTGACACAGGACCTAATCTAGATACCTAACCACTCTGTAGGATTATTTGATAGGAAATAATGCATTCTGGAATCTGAATCACTGAATTACAAATGCTAGACTACAGCCCCTCGCATTAAACAGAGGACATTCGTATCTTAAATCTAGCTTTGGTCTAGTCATTTGTTAGTGGGTAACTAATCTGGGTTTTATAATTTCTAAAATAATACTTATGCCACCTCTGTCATGATGGTGTTGTAGGCATCCCATGTGATAATATATGGCAGGCTTCTCTGGAACATGATGAAAAGGGTGTCATTATTACCATTATTACTTAAATGTGTGTGTATTTATGTCTACTTTTCAACTGAAAAAAGAAAAAAATAATTACTGTGTTCTCTATCATCTATACACTTATGTTGTTTTTTGTTTTTTTTATGTTTTTGTTTTGCTTCAAAATCTAAAATACAATGGTCAACTCATGGCATAGCTATAAACTACAAAAAAAAAAATACCTTTCAATATAAATGTCACGAAGCAAAAGGCATTTTCTCCCAGCATGGTAGGCCACTTGTGCCATCCACAACAATGCCCACGACAGATCACTGAACATGATTTATTTTTATAAATGTTGTCAGTCTAATCAATGCACACCTTAGATGCTCTTCATCCATATTGCTTCAGCCTGAGATCTATTTATTTCTGCAAATAGCCCTAAACAGTGCAAATGTAATATATTATAACACTCCCTCGATTTATTTATTTTTTCATTCATCTTCATAACAAAAATACAGCAGTGAAATAGCTGCAGTTCTTTACATGCTACCTACCTGCCAAGGACTCCAACAAACTAGTGAAGATTAACTCATATTTTGAGAAAGACATTTTAAGCCTGAAATATTTGATGCATCATGAAATCTATAACACATCCCTATGGAAATACAAAGCTTGGGGACTCTTTATTTGCAATTCATGTGTACGCATGAGACAATCAGAGGCAATATTCTACCCAGGCTAAGCCAATAGCCAATAGACGTATGTCAGCATTTCCCGCTATGTGAAAGATCCCAGGGAGCTAGGCTAATTTTTCAGAGTTTCCACGTATCTTGTGCTTCTAAACACTTCATATCAAATGGAAGTTGGGCTTAAAAGTCTCCTCATATTTGAAGCAACAATAGGATAATAATTGCCCACCAAGTGTATCTCGTTAGGATGAAAGCCAATGACAGGTAGCCAGTAATGAGACTTTCTGAGGTTTGGGTAAAATAATTGAGGGCAGAAATGGGGAACCTCAGATATATTTCCATTTCTAGTTGATTGAATGCAGAGCTGTGAAGTCCCATGACAATAGCTCTGGGATGCCATTGGATTGGCAAGGCTGTGGGATGGGCTGGTGGCTATTCCTGAAGTCATAAAAGCAACTTTATAGGCAGCATTACTAATGCATCTATTCACAGGCTCAGCACGGAACATGCTCAAAACAGCAACTGTAGCATAGGTTAGCTGTATCTGAAACTGGCTGCTTTACGGGCAGCCTGGAAATCAACCGTGGTTGTATTCATTGTCTATTGCTGCTGTAAAAAAAAAAATAGCATGAGTTTAGCAGCTTCAACAACCCAACTATTATGTTACTGTTCTGCAGGTCAGGGTCTCATGGGGCTGAAATCAGGGTGTCCACAGGGCTGTGTTCCTTCTGGAGGCCCTAGAAAACAATCCATTTCCTTGCCTTTCCCAGCTTCTAGAGGCCATCTGCATTCCTTGGCTTGTGGCCCCTTCCTCCGCCTTCAGAGCCAGTGGCATAGCATCTCTCTGACCCTACTTGATCATTGCATCTCTTTCTCTCACACCAACAGGGAAAAGTTCTCTGCCCCTAAGGGACACCATGGGATTAAGGTCTGCATTGCCATGATTAGACCAGGTCCATTTGCATAATTAGGATACTCTCCCTATCGCAAGGTCCTTAACCTTAATCCCTTTTGCAAGGTCCCTGTGATGGATGATTTTGGGTATCAATGTGACTAAGTGATAATTAATGGATGGCAATTAAGGGAATGAATTATTTATTTTGAATCATTGCATTAATTATTCTCAATGCTTCATCAGGATGGAACCAGCCCCTCTCCTGCAGAAAGGGAAACCCAGGTAATTTGGCATTTGATTAGAATGTTTGGGCTGCCCCATGGGTGGGGAAGATTTGCCCTCAGTGTGGGTGGGCACCATCCCATTTCCTGGGGGCCCAGATGGAACAAACAGGCTTAAGGATGGATTTTTGCTATCTCTCCTGGATCTGGGGCGCCGTCTTCTGTCCTTGGATGTCAGGACTCCAGGTTCTCTGGCTTTGGGACTTCAGGAGGAGAACCAGTGGCCCTCCCAGGCTCTTGGGCCTTTGGCTTCAGACTGACTAAGAGTGACACCATCATCATCTCTGGTTCTGAAGCCTTGGGACTCCCACTGAGTCATGTTATGGTTTTTGCTGATTCTCCAGCTTGCAGATGGCCTATCATGGGACTTCCCACTGCACAGTCGAATGAGCCAATTCCCCTGATAAAGTCCTTCTCATCTCTCCCACTAAACATTTATCATGTCAGTTCTGTCTCTCTGGAAAACCTTGACTCAACAGTTTCTTTTGCAATATAAGGTAACATTGTCACGGGTTCTAGGGATTAGGACAAGGGTATCTTTGCAAGGCTGTTATCCTGTCTACCACCATGGTCTATGATCTAGAGATGACCAAATCCTTCACCTATCCATCCACTTGGTGGGAAATGCCTCCCATCCTCTGCAGAGAGCCATCTGGAGTTAGGCAGAGCAGAGCTGCAGAACTCATTCTCCCTGCAGCATATTAACCCTGAGAACCCATTATTGCTATTAATCATTTATACAACAAACTCTCAAAGCTTCTCGTGACAGGTGTCATTAGGGCAACTGTTAGAGCACAGGAAATTCTCACTTAACATTGTCAGTAGACTCTTGGAAAATGCAACTTTAAGTGAAAAGACATAAAACAGAATGACTTTCCCATGGGCTAAGTGATACTCATAAGAGTGACATTCCCAGGGCATGTTTCGGGTCACAGAAACATCACCAAACTTCTAAGTAAAGATAAAATGACTCCTAATACTAAACATTGAGATGGATGTGAACTACATGTATTACACTATTCTTGAATTGCTGTAAAAATACACCTGAGACTGTGTCATTTATAAGAAAAGAGACTTCATTGGCTCATGGTTTTGCAGGCGGCTGGACAGGAAGTGTAACACCAGTATCTGCTTCTAGGGAGGCCTCAGGAAGCTCCCAACTATGGTAGAAGGCAAGGGAGGGCAAGTGTGACACATGACAGGTGCAGGGACAGGGCTGGAGGTGCCACACACTTTTAGATGACCAGATCTTGGGTGAACTCAGAGCGATGGCTCACTTGTCACCAAGGGGATGGCCCCCAGGATCCAAATGCCCCCTACCAGTCTCCATCTCCAACACTGGGTTGGAGATTCAGGCAGGGAAGAATATCCAAAGTACATCACGATACATACATTTTTGTTTAAAGATTAGCAAAAATAAAATTATTTACCCATAATTCCCATTCAGGGTTGCAGGTGGCTGGAACCCATCCCGGCAGCTCAGGGCACAAGGCAGGGCCCAGGCCCTAGATAGGACGCTACCCCTTCGCAGGGCACTCACACACACACCCGCACTCACATTGGGACACGAATCTCATGTGCACATCTTTGGGATGTGTGAGAAAACAGGAGTACCTGAAGAAACCCTTGCAGATGGGTGGTACAGCAGGCCAGCTCCACACAGAGAGTGGCCTCCACCAGGAAGCAATTTTTTTTTTCTCATCAATGTTATAAAGAAATGCTGTTGAATGAAAAGTCATTATTCAAGGACCCAATGGATAGCTGTGTTCTATTATTGCCTCCTTTGTTCATCTTCTTACAATACTGGATCTGGGATAACTTGGCATTAAATATCTTTCTTATTTAATGACTGGCATCTATAAAAATGTAAAGCTCACTGAGAAGGCAGGGAAGCATTTTTCTGCTGACCTGAGGCACGATTTGCATTTTTAAAAATGCGCTTCATAAGCACTAAGCTGGAGTGGAATAAACTTGCAGTGCTGAGAAACTGCAGAGTGGCCGAGGTCACAGCATTTATGAAGTCTTATCAGTGGAACTCTTATGGCTGCTACCTGGTAATTAGCTTACTTGGTACATTATAATTAATTTTTATAATAATAATTAATATTTTGGTTCTTTCACCCAACCACACTGGCAAAGAAAAATCAGGAAAAAAAACCCATACTGATCAGGTTAGGATAGGCCATGCAGCAGCATGAACAAATCCTGATCTCTCAAAACAATCTAATAAAGGTTTAGATTTTTCTTACGTAAAGCTGGATGCTGCTCAGGTAACCTCACCCCAGCTTGCAGTTACACCATCAGAAAAGCAGAGTTGCCCAGCCGGGAGGAAAGAGATGGAATGGCCATGCTGCCTCTGAACCGCTCAGCTAGAAAGGGACGCATGTCACTTCCCCTCACATGACCCTAACTTGCGTCCAGAGGAGACCAGGTAATCCAGGGGTACACAGGGTCATGGGGTGAGGGCTGTTTGTCACTGCCAATCTATGACTGTCAACCCTTTCACTGACCCCATTGACCTTCTTGTGAAAGATGATGAAATGGAGGTCAATGTGATCTACAGGCAAACTGACCGAGACACTCTCCATCCTAACACCTCTATTAGCATCCTGACATTTTGATTCTCTAGAATTTTCTGAAGGTAGGATCACTTTCTCTCTCTATGACCAATTCTCTCAAGAATTTATAAGAAAAGAGATTTAACTGGCTCATGGTTCTACAGGCTGTACGAGAGGCATAGCCCAGTGTAACTAATTCCATTAAAGTCATAGCAATTTCAGTGACTGATACTTTGAAGCCCCATCATTTGTCTTCCTCTGGCTGACTTTCCTTGAAGGTGGTCAGGAATATTGACTTGCTTTAATCTCTTACTTCACCATGGGGCTTGAATTCCACTTTCTCAGATATGTTTGAGGTTAGTATTGAATCAATTTGGTTTATGATTATTTTACTCAAATAGACATCTTGGTCTTTGGAATACCTTCCTGTTGCCTTTTAAAAACATACCTTGGCTGGACACGGAGGCTCGCACCTGTAAACCCAGCACTTTGGGAACCTGAGCCAGATGGATTGCCTGAGCTCAGGAGTTCAAGACCAGCCTGGGCAACATGTCCAAACCCTGTCTTTACCAAAAATACACACACACACACACACACACACACACACACACACACACACACACATAGCCAGGCACAGTGGTGCATTCCTATGGTCCTAGCTACTCAGGAGGCTGAGGTGGGAGGATTGCTTGAGCCTGGGAGGTGGAGGTTGCAGTGAACCAAGATTGTGCCACTGTACTCTAGCCTGGGTGACTAAGTGAGAACCCGCCTCAGAAAAAAAAATATATATATCTTTTTAGGAGGCAACGAAATAACCAATTCTGCCACTTTAGAGAGCTTGGGTAATTTGAAATTACATGGCCAGATTAAGAAATGTAAGGACACCCCTTTATTCTGTTGATCTGTGTTCAAACATTCAACTTTCATCTCTCGGTTATAACACGTGCTTCTTACAGCATTGCAAAAAATGATATTTCCAAATGAAATATTAAAATTAGTAATATAAATGTATCAGCTCATATGAGCTGAAGATTTTTTTAAGTGAATGAAATTAGCAGTCTTCCCTGCTCATCTTTTCAAATTGGAACAGAACCTGGATCAAGATAGAAATGAATTCTAACCTCTTCATAGACTCTTCTAGATTCAAACACTAGGCACAGTCGTGGCCAGAGATGTGATGAGATCTAATCGCCACACACCTATGGCTTGAGGTTCTAGGTGGTCAATGCAGGCTCCAGGGTTCTTGTTTGCAACGG